GCTTGGGGCCAGGTCGGCAGCCACAATTACAGATCAGAGGCTGGGATTGCAAGTGAACAGCCCTGCCTCCCTGTGGGACTCTGGGTAAATGACTTTCCTCGCTCAGCCTCTGTTTCCCCAGGTGTAAAATGGAGATAGTAATGAAACTTGCTTTAAAGGGTTGTTGACAGGATCCACCCCAACGCATGGCAGGTGCTGCACAAACATGAGATCTCTTTTCTCCCTCATGGCTGAATCTGCCTCTGCCGCCCCCATCTGACTGGAAGCCCCCTGAGGGCAGAGGCTGGGCCCTCGAGAGGAGGTGGTGAGTTGGGGTTTGTCTGACTATCTCCCTCCCCTGCTCAAAATCCTCATAGGCAAAAGGCAAACTCTAAAACCTGCATTCAAGGCCTTTGAACATCTGAACCTGGTTTGACAACCTCCTATTCACCCTTCAAAGTCAACATCAAAATGCCCTCTCCCCAGAAAGCCTTGCCTAGTGCCAGCAGGGAAAGGGCAGTCCAGGGGAACGCTGATGTCCCACTGCCTGACCCCTCCCAGGGCAGGTCCTGGGGTGTGGGGTCTGGGCAGGTGGAAGGGAGGAGACCCCAGAGGTCAGGGAGGCAGCAGACACTGACTTTTGGAGTAGGGTGAAGGGAATACACACCACCCTAGTCAGGGCCACAGCCACTGTGGAGCACAGAGGATGTGTCAGAGAGCCAGACATGCCTGTCATTGGTCCCGAGATCATGCTGTCCTCATCATGCCCCATCTCTGTCCCCTGCAGTCAGATAGTCCCACCCATATACCTGACCACTTTCTTGTCACCCAATTGGTGACACTGTCATCCTCAGCACAGCCACATAGGCAGTTACGCCCCAAAAATGCACAAGGCTGGACATGCGGGGCACATCAGAAACACAGGACATGCCAGACACTGAGCTGCCTCTAGCAGCCACATGGGCAGTGTAAAGCTAATGACTACGAGCAGGGCTCAGGCTCACAGACCCCTCAAGCCCATTGTACACACTGGTTTACGAGCTAGGCAGTAGGAGAAGGTCCTGCGAGCCGTGGGTAAAAAATTAATAGGCTTTATTCAGAGCTAGGAGCAGCCGCCCTAGGGCCCTCCTGGAGTGTCCTGAGAAGCACCGTGTATCAGAGCCGTTAGTCCTTTATACTTAAGTCCATAACCCAGGACATCTGGGTGCACATGCACAATTACATTAGACAATAACCAAGGAACACCTGGGCGCAGGTGCATATTTACATCAAATGCTCAGCAAGATTCTGAACATCCGAGGGGCCCTGACCATTTTCCTGTATTTTCCCAACAGGTGGATACGCTTCTGTGACACAAAGCCTTGTGCTGCAGGGTCACTCATGTCTGTGCTCACCTGTGCACAGTGTCTCCTTGACCCACCCAGAGTCGCCCCACACAGTGGGACCCTCTTGACCTCCAGATACCTGGCTGGCTTGAGTCAAGCCAATTCCAACCCCCCATGACCCTCAAGTTCTCTCTGACGGTTCTGCCCCACTGAGCACACCGGGCCACCGTCTGGTGAGAACTGGCCTGGCTGCCCATCTGGGGGCTCAGCACAGGGACACACACACACAATGTGGGCACACATGTGCTGCCATGTGATGTCTGCCTGCACACCTGGGGTACAGATATGCTCGATCATGCACAAACTTAGCCCCAGGCCTGGCCCTCACAGAGCCCCAGTCAGAATGGAGAGGCAGAACCGGGCACAGATATCCCAGCATGTATTGTCAGGCTTGGGCCAGTAAGAGGCCAGGGGCTGGGAAAACCCATAGGGTCTCCTCCCTTCTGCCTTCCCAGACCCCCTACCCCAGGACCTTCCCTGGGAAGGGTCAGGCAGTGGGACGTCAGCGTTCACCTGGACTGCCCTTTCCTTGCTAGCACCCTGCCTGGGTTTCCACCATTAAATCTCAAGCATTTTCCCCACCTGACTGAAGTGGGTCTCCCTGCCATGCTGGCTCCAGTCTTTGGGGTCTGAGACTGGGTTATACCCAACTCCAAGGGCTGATGAGAGAGACAGATGGGGCCTGGGAAGTGGTGGCCGTGCCAGATCCATGAGATCCCCATGGAGGAGCCAGGCATGTTCAGTCAGGACAGGAGGTGGCTGGTGGGAATGGGGCAGGTCGAAGCTTGTTTCTCTGGGGTGTTGAAAATAATGGTGTACTTCAAGGGGAACCCACAGTTTTGCTATTGGGTCATCTCTTCCAGGACGTTTGTTCACTGTGGGTTCCAGGACGTTTGTTCACTGTGGTCATTGACATTCAAATTTCATAAGATTTTCACATGTCACTGTTGGGGTGCAGAAAGCTGTTGCCCCAAAATATGGTGCTTTGACATGTTGAAATAAAGAAGCAGCCTCAAGTTCTCTCTGACGTCCCCCTCTTTTGTCTCTCAATCCTCTGTCACTCCCCAAAGCACGGGATGAAGCTGGTCCCTCACTTGCCTGAAGTCCAGACCACCAAAGAAGACGATCACCTGTGGACTTTTCCCTGAGTTTTCATTAACTTAACTCACAGCCCAGGGAGAAAGACCGCAGCGTGTCAACACACCTGTGCAAACTTTTGTCGCAGACACATTGTCTTCTATTTTGATCTCATTCAGTATGTTGAAGAGGATCATTTACCAGCCACTGTCTGCTCTTCGGGTCAAACAGACTTTGTCCCAGGCATCTGTGTGTCCTCCAGGCCCATTGTGTCCCCCTAAGAACCATTCACTCCTGCACCCCATTTTCCCTTTCCTATGAAGATGGGTACATAAGCTCTGTACCCCACTGCAAAATTGGAAAATTACTCTCTTATGATTCCCCCCTGCGTTTCCCCTCCCAGCACGTTAAAATAATAAAAATTTGTTATGTCTTCTCTTCATATTAATCTGTTTATTAGCTTATTTTTCAGAGAACCTTCATGGTTTTGAGAAGGTTTTCCTTGGCCCCTATATCACTAAATCTTTTTCTTTCCTAATTGTTTACAAACAGAAAAACCCCAGGTTGTACAAAAGACAGGCAGTGGGCCCTTCCATACTAGTGTAGAAAGGTAGATAATATTCTGTTCTCCGATTTTCCATGTTTTCCTTCTGATGGTGTAAAAGCATATTACCATACTAAATACTTTTATGCCTCACTTAAAAAAAAAATTTTTTTTTAAAGGTGACCGGTAAGGAGATCTTAACCCTTGACTCGGTGTTGTCAGCACCACGCTCTCCCAAGTGAGCCACGGGCTGGCCCACACTTTTTAAAACTTTTTATGTCTATACAATTATCATGGGTCAATTAAGAAAAGTAAATTAAAAACAGAAAAAAAGAGAAATAGAAACTAGAATAGTGGTTAGCAGAGGCAGGGAAAGGGAAGGGGTGTGGGGAATGGTTGGTAGACGGATACAAAGTCACAAAGGGACAGTTAGGAAGAAAAGTTCTGGTGCTCTAGGATGACAAGATCTAATGATATTGTATTGATGGGTATTGTATAACTAATGGTCTGTCTATTTCAAGATAGCCAGAAAAAAAGGATCTTGAATGTCATAACCACAAAGAAACGATAAATGTTTAGGTGACAGATATGCTACTATTCTGATCATTATACAACATACGCATGTATTGAAACAAGCTGTAGCCCATAAACATGTACAATGAAAAAATAAATTAATATTAAATAATAATAATAATAAAATTAAATAATAATAATGATAAACACTTATTGTATCTGTGAACAAGGCTTCAAGTTATACCAAGATTTCATGGCTCAGGATGGTTTGGAAGCCAACAAGCCTCTGAAGTTACAATCATTTAAAATTCAATAGGGGCCAAAACTTAACGATGTGGGTGCTAGTTAAACTTTCGCTTGCTGATAGCTGTTAACTTCCCACTCAGAACCCCTTGCTCCTGTAGCATAATTGTAAATTGCTGACGTCTGGTTTTCCATGGAGCTGGGAGAGATGACGCAAAGATCACCAAGAGAATTTGTCTGTTTTTGTTGTTGTTGTTTGTTTTTTTGGTGTGTGTGTTTTGGCAGCTGGCCGGTTATGAGTGTGTTTTGCAGAAAGATGGATGCTCTCAAAGACATGCAACCACCGGATGACCCAGCCCCAGCTGCCGGGGACGCCAAAGAGCCGGCTGCCCAAGGTCTCATCTGGGGTCGGAGAAACACAGGCTTTCCCTAAACTTCCTCGAGACCCCCCTGCCTTCTCTCTCACCTCTATAAACTCTGGGATGGGAGAGAGTTTGCTCTCCCGTCCTCTTGCCTCAGCCAATTCGAATAAACCGTGCTCTACCTCCAAGCACAGGTGTTTCGGTGTATTGGCTTTAGCTGGACATCGGGCACCCAAACCTAAAATTTCGGGTTTCGGTAACAATACGCTTTGTTATTTAAACAAACAGATGCGGGCCGTCCGCTTATCTTGGTTTGTTAGAGAGCGGGATTGTAACACCAAGGTCAAGGGTTCGGATCCCTGCACCGGCAGCAGCCAAAATTAAAATAAAACCTAGGCAAATAAAAAAATGGAGCGGGATTGTAACACCAAGGTCAAGGGTTCGGATCCCTGCACCGGCAGCAGCCAAAATCAAAATAAAACCTAGGTAAATAAAAAAATAGCTGCATATCCTACGATGATCTCCTTTGAGATGACCTCCCCGAACCACAAGTGCGGGTTTTTCACATTTTTTTCGCCAATTTCCCGGGAAACACTCAGCATCCCTGCGGGGGGGAGGGGCTGATGTCGCAAGGAATTCTGGGGGATGTAGTCCTAGTTTGCAGAGGACGAGTCCCTTAGCGCCGTGCTGCCATATTTCCGGCGGAAGTTGCTGGGAGTGGAAAAGCTGTGAGCTCTTTTTCCGCAAACGTCGCTCACGGGAGCACCTGGGAGACGCGTGGGGGCGTGGCCCCTGTCTCCACGTGATTGGCCAGCAGCTTCCCAAATACGCGCAGACGGCGCTTCTGGGGTCCCGCTTCTCTTGCAAGGCCTTCTGGGAGTTGTAGTTCGGACTCCTGCCCAAGCTCGGCCGTGGGGAGGAGGCTGGGAGGATGGATCCCGGGTCCGGGACCGACGAGGCGCCGCTGGCCAGCCTGGTCTGGTCGTCGGCCTCGGCGCCCCCGCCGCGGGGATTCAGCGCGGTGAGCGGCGTCGGGGGGCGGAGGTTGGGTGGGGGCAGAGGCGACCGCGGGGGAGCGGGACCCGGCGCTGACCCCGTCCGCTCCGCAGATCTCCTGCACCGTCGAGGGGGCGCCCGCCAGCGTCGGCAAGAGCTTCGCGCAGAAGTCCGGCTACTTCCTGTGCCTCAGTCCTCTGGGCAGCTTGGAGGTAGGGGGACACCTTCGGGGCCACCGGGGCCCACCCGCCGCCCCTGTGCGCTCGCGGGGCCCTGTGCCGGGCGCGCCGTCCCCGCTGCTCTGCTGGCGATCCTCGCTGTGTCCTCCCCACTTTGTCCCCAGAATCCGCAGGAGAACGTGGTGGCCGATATCCAGATCGTGGTGGACAAGAGCCCCCTCCCCCCGGGCTTCTCCCCAGTCTGCGACCCCCTGGACTCCAGTAAGGCCCGCGTCGGTGTGGGAGGTGTCCGGGTTCTGCGGGGAGGAGCGGGACAGGAGGGACGACAGGGGCCGCGACCGCCCCCTGCCCCGCACACTGGCGACGACAGGGTTGGCTGAGGACTCTGGATCCCTGTTCTAGGGCGGGGCGGTGTGCTCTGTCCTGAGTGTCCCGCAATAAGTCCAGCAACCTGTTTTATTACTGTTATTGCTGTTTGTCCCCTCCTTAATCATAGCCAACCAAAGCCACCGGGCAGTTCTCTTTTTCACTTCCAGGCCTTTGCGCACGCCGTGTCCTCTGCCTGGAGCGCACTTTCCTCCTGTTTGCTTGGCTAATTAGTCATGGTCCCTCAGGTCTGAGCTTCGACCGTCCTGACTTCCTCTTCTGGTTCCAGGTGCAGCCAGCCTAGCCCTGATCGCAGCTTCCCACCCTTTCTTGTCATTTTTTTTTTTTTTTGTGACCGGTAAGGGGATCATAACCCTTGGCTTGGTGTCGCCTGCACCGCGCTCAGCCAGTGAGCGCAACTGCCCATCTCCGAACCTGCCGCCTTGGCGCTCCCAGCGCCGCACTCTCCCGAGTGAGCCACAGGGTCGGCCCCTTTCTTGTCATTTTTATTTGACTCTCAGGGTATGTTCATTGATACTAGAGTTGGCAAACCTTTACGCAAAGTACCAGATACTAAGTATTTTAGGCTTTTTCAGGCCACATGTTGTCTGTTGCATATTCTTTTTTTTCACAACTCCCTAGAAATGTAAAAGCCATTCTTAGCTCATGAGCTGTATAGAAACAGGCCTTGGGCCAGATTTGGCTCATGGGCTGTAGTTTGCTGACCCCTGGATTAGAGGACTGAGGGAAAGTGAGGTTTGGAAGTCCAGGATGGTCACCCAGTTCTGTGTGATCACACAGTTACCCACCCTCCCTGTGGCACCCACAGCCACCCTGAGTGCTCCTTCATGTCAACAAAGGTCAGCCTACCACAGTGACTCCTAAAACCTACATGGAATCCCCTCTTATGTCTATACCATTTGTGATTTAACCCCCGCCCCCCACAATGCCACGTGGGTCGCTGCCTTAAATGGCACCCTGGTGAGCATTATCCCAGCGTCATCTTTGGACCCTTACACCCCTGACCCACTTCCCTTTCTCACTCTCCTGTCCCCCCACTCCCAGAGGCCTCCATGTCCAAGAAGAAACGCATGTGCGTGAAGCTGGTGCCCCTGGGGGCCGCAGACACGGCTGTGTATGATGTCCGGCTGAGCGGGAAGACCAAAACGGTGCCTGGATACCTGCGAATAGGGTAGGGCAGCACCCCAGCTTCTGGCCTCCTCCGCTGCCTCCCCAACACCTGACCTACTCCTCTGACCCTCAGGGACTCGTCTGAGCCGTACTATCCCTTCTGCCAGATTCTGTATGTTAAAACAGGGACAGTTGTACCAGTCTTGTAGGGTTGTTGTGAGGAGTCAGTGAGTTGGTGTCTAAAGTACACAGAACGTGGGCTGGCTGGTTTGCGCATTTGGTTAGAATGCTGTATTGTAACACCAAGGTCAAGGGTTTGGATCCCTGTATGGCCAGCTACCGAAAAAAAAAAAAAAGGACATGGAAAAGAAATCA